TTTGTCTAATTTATCTCCAGAATGAGGTTTACAGAAAATTGTATGTAATCAGCTCATCTTTCGAAGGAGCATCTCACTGTTTGTAGAATTAACAAGGCACATGAACATGTTTCTGGAGCACTTACAGAACAAGAAAGGGCAGGTTCATGGTAATTAAACCCACTGACATTGTCATAGATTAACATTATTATTATTTAAAATTTGTCAGCTGGCATATGTATTTGTTGGAGAGAGACAGAGGGAGAAAGAGAGAGAGAGCAAGAAAGCACTCCCCCATGGGGAATGGTTAGGCTGCAAACTCTTCTCCATTTCTGCCTCCTTTTTGGTTTTGGGGCATGCATGCATGCATACCCAGTATGTTTTTCAAAGTGGTGGGCCCATGCTTAGTCAGTCATGTGGAATCTAGCTACCTTAACTACCACAACAGCAGCTGGCCCCATATGTTAACATTATGAATATACTTTGGGATAGATGTGTCAGGATATTGCTATGTTAATCATAAAAGGTGTATGTTTGACCAAAAAAAAAAATCATTTTCTTCTTTCTTATTCTTTTTCTTTTTTTGGGGGGAGGGTAACATTTGTTAAGTGGAATTTAATCTTCTTAGTCTTATTGACAAAAAAGGAAAAAGTTTCTGGGACCACTTTGTTTGTTTGTTAATTGGATGAATAATGGAAAGTAGAATCAGTACAGCACTGACCTCTTATATTAGCCAGGAAAATACTATATACCCTGATTTTAAATCTGATGTTGTAACCCATCTAATCTTCAAAACTGACTCTGAATCTTAGCACTATATTTACATTCCTTGTACGAATGAGAAGAAAAAACCGACTGGACTTGCCTCTGTGGAAGTAGTTTGGTGGTCATTTAAGGGTTGAAATTGGAAATTACATTTTTAATAGTGGAAGGGGGTTGAAACGTGTATTGTTTGCCTACAATAGGTGAAACTGTATGTAAGAAATGTGTTCTTTTATGGCTCATATAATTAAAGGCCACTTCTGACAAAAGATAATGACATTTGCAAGTACCAGCTAAAATAGCGCTGCCACAGGGAAATAGCAGAGTTTTCAATTCACTTGGCCTTGTAGTTTTGAAATTATGTGATTTTTGAGTGAATTTATTAATGTAAGAAATTTTTGTTATTTCACATTTTATGCTTACAGTAGGGTTTCATTAATATTTTGGTGCTTTAATATTTTAAATGAATACAATGCAAATTTGCATAGTGACTTCATTGTGTGATGAATAGGGCAAGTTTCTGTAGTATAGGTGACATGAGTGGCCCTCTGATAGATGGTATTGTTATTGCTTCCTCTTATTGGAAGGAAGCTTAGATATCCCTGTTTCATTGACATTGGATTGGTCATGTAACTTGAAAGGTTCATCTCTGTAGTAAAACTGTATTTCATGGCCCTGTTGAAATTAGTAGCAGCCATGGAAGTTGTTTTAGCCAATAAAATATGAGTAGAAGTGGTATGTATCAATCCCAAGCATAAAATTTACCAACTCATAGATCATTTTATTACTTTTTCACAAAACTATCCATATTCTCGATGAAAATTTGTCTATCGGCCTAGTCTTGTGGTAATGACAACATGAAGCAGAGCCCATAATGTACTCATGATATGATAAGCAAGAAATACTTCTTTGCTATTGTATGCCACTACTATTTGAGAGGTAATTTGTTATGCAGCATACTGAGCTCAAGCTGATTGATATGGATCCCAAAGTGAAGAAGATGCTGATTATGAAAATGATTAAGACATGATTCATAGCCTAAAGAACATCACTTTATAATAGGAAAAAATACATACAATTATTTATAAAACAATATGGAAAGCTAATAGGGCACATGGAAAGTACTATAATTACATCAAAGAAAGAGAGAAAAACCCTATTTGAAGGGTTTAGGAAAGGCTTGCTGTAGGAAATAATACTGAATTTGGGATGTTATATAAGAGTTCAATGATTTTTTAAAAAAATGTGGGCATTCTACAAACAAGAAACATCATGTTCAAAAAGTATGTAGGCATAAAATAAAATTAAATTTTAAAGGAATAGCAATAAGCATGATGTGTTTTGGGGGGTGTTTAATGTCTGTGGAGAAAATCTATGTTACAGGGAAAAAAGTTGGGAGGTGAGTCTAGGAAGTGATCTTTCAAAGGTATGATTCTGATCTCACATGCTAGAGAGATAGTGAATATTTAGGCAGATCAAAGCTCCAATTTTGTCTCTCCCATTAACATTTTTGTCCTGAGAAACAACTTTTAGTTTTTTCATCACTACAGTGGTATTAGTAATGCTACATTTCAGATTTGGTTTGAAAAATAAAAGCAGTATCTAATACACAATAACTCTTAGCTTCCTTCATACCCATTATGCTAAGGAGGCTATATTTCATGTAATCATGCAACGGGCTGTGTTTCGAGTGTTTTTGAAACAAGGGAATGATGGGACCAGAATCATACCCTTGAAAGGTCACTCTGGCAACATGTGGAAGATGGATGGGATGGTGGGATGATGAGAAGCAGCGAGACCAGTTACGAGTTTAGTGCTATAAAACAATCAAGAGATAATGAAGATTCAGGCTAAGATAGTGATAATGCCTGGCTTTCCCCTCTTCTTTTTATGATTTCTTTAGGTGACATGTGCATATATCAATGCCCTCAACAGGGCAGGGGGCACAAAAGAATCACTTTTAGTTTCCTGGAGTCTCAATTTTCTAAAAGTCAATTTGATGCTGACCCCTTGCTAACCACACTAGTTTATATACTGCACCCTTGCTATTGAAGACCCTATATTCTTTTTTTTTGGGGGGGGGAGAGAATTTTGCTATAGGGCGCATGCGCTCGCCAGACACACAGAGAGAGACAGAGAGACAGAAAGCCGGAAATCACCCCCCAGGGCTAATAGGGCACATGGAAAGTACTATAATTACATCAAAGAAAGAGAGAAAAACCCTATTTGAAGGGTTTAGGAAATGCTTTCTGTAGGAAATAATACTGAATTTGGGATGTTATATAAGAGTTCAATGATTTTTTAAAAAAATGTGGGCATTCTACAAACAAGAAACATCATGTTCAAAAAGTATGTAGGCATAAAATAAAATTAAATTTTAAAGGAATAGCAATAAGCATGATGTGTTTTGGGGGGTGTTTAATGTCTGTGGAGAAAATCTATGTTACAGGGAAAAAAGTTGGGAGGTGAGTCTAGGAAGTGATCTTTCAAAGGTATGATTCTGATCTCACATGCTAGAGAGATAGTGAATATTTAGGCAGATCAAAGCTCCAATTTTGTCTCTCCCATTAACATTTTTGTCCTGAGAAACAACTTTTAGTTTTTTCATCACTACAGTGGTATTAGTAATGCTACATTTCAGATTTGGTTTGAAAAATAAAAGCAGTATCTAATACACAATAACTCTTAGCTTCCTTCATACCCATTATGCTAAGGAGGCTATATTTCATGTAATCATGCAACGGGCTGTGTTTCGAGTGTTTTTGAAACAAGGGAATGATGGGACCAGAATCATACCCTTGAAAGGTCACTCTGGCAACATGTGGAAGATGGATGGGATGGTGGGATGATGAGAAGCAGCGAGACCAGTTACGAGTTTAGTGCTATAAAACAATCAAGAGATAATGAAGATTCAGGCTAAGATAGTGATAATGCCTGGCTTTCCCCTCTTCTTTTTATGATTTCTTTAGGTGACATGTGCATATATCAATGCCCTCAACAGGGCAGGGGGCACAAAAGAATCACTTTTAGTTTCCTGGAGTCTCAATTTTCTAAAAGTCAATTTGATGCTGACCCCTTGCTAACCACACTAGTTTATATACTGCACCCTTGCTATTGAAGACCCTATATTCTTTTTTTTTGGGGGGGGGAGAGAATTTTGCTATAGGGCGCATGCGCTCGCCAGACACACAGAGAGAGACAGAGAGACAGAAAGCAGGAAATCACCCCCCAGGGGGGATGGCCATGCCACAATCCCTTCTCCTCCATTCTCTCGGGATCTTGGGCACGCACACACATGTGCCTGGCGTGAGTTTAAGCCACCGGGTCTGGGACTTGAACCACAGTCTACTATGTGGGAGTCCAGTGATATAGCCATTACGCTAACTGCTGGTCCTGAAGACCCTATATTCTGGTACTTCCCAGGGTTAGCCTACTAAGACTCGCCCCATGTTTCAAGTCTTACCCTTCTCTGCTAACACTCTGTCCCATCCTCTATTATTCTGCTAATTTGCTAAACTGATCAGTGTAAATGTGATCATGGGACACAATATTTCCAGTCATTACAGTTCCCATGTTTGCTTTCAGGACACTGCCTTATTCAAAAAAATAACTAGTACTTCTTCATATTATTGCACAATGAAGATGATGTTGAGTTTCATCTTTAAAAGCACCAATTCCTAAATTCAGATCCTGGGGAGTATTTCAAACTCTCAATGCCCAGGTCACATCCCATACTAATTATATAAGAACCTCAATATTTTTTTAAACTCCCCAGATGATACAAAAGTGCAGCCAAATATGAGAAGCAGAGATTTACAGAGTGACTCTCAAGCTTTAATGTGCACACAAATCATCTGGGGATCTTGCTGGAAGGCAGAGTTTGATTTCATAGGACTGGGGCAAAGCCTGAGATTTAGCATTCCTAACCAGTTCCCTGGTGATGCCAATGCTGCTGATCTGTGGACCATACTTTGTACAGCCAAGACTTAGTCCATTATTAATGTCTCTTTTATAAAGTCATTTTAGGATATTAAAATAAAATACTATTATTTGTGATGTCAAGGAACATTTTTCTCCTCCCTCCTTGCTCTGAGGGCTACATTTGGTGTTGTACATAAGTATGCATCTTGAATTACATTTTATATTGCAAGTAATTGATTGAGTGTTGATGAACAGCCAAATGTGCTTTACTTTAATAAAATACAGCTGTGATTTATACACAGCTAAACAACACATTATGCGATTTACCCTTTTAATAGGACTAAATGGCCTTGATATGTGAAAGGCTATGCTGATCTGCCCCTTGATCAAAGAACTTTAAATGGATACCTGGCAAATCAATGCATAATCTTAATGAAGACTACTACAAGAACTTTTAACAGATGCCAAGCAAGGTAAACGCATTTATGATGACTTTATTTTTTGATCTGGAAGGGAAGTATTTATTATGAGATTAAAGTACATCTGAAGAATTAAAGAATGTCAATAACATGCTAGTTACTTCCTTCTCACATACAGTTCTAGGTACATGAGAAATGGCAACCTGTATTTTGTATATTTCGCTTTTAGTTTTAGGAGATTTTAACAAAATTGTTATGAAAAGTTTCATTTATTTGTCATACATGCCCACTTCAAATGCTGCGGAAAGATTATTGATTTAATCTTTAGGTTCTGGTTCTTTATGGTACCTTTTAATTCTATCCATCAGAACTCCACCTGGAAGGTAAGTACCAGAATAGCACTGGACAGTTTCTCTTTACTAGCCTTAAACCAAATTCCACTATCCCAAACCTTACGGACTCCGGACCACTTTTGGTTAAGTCCCTGGAATACTCCTTCATATTGTACAATTTCTTTTCTTTCCTTTCCTTTTCTTTTCTTTTCTTTTCTTTTCTTTTCTTTTCTTTTCTTTTCTTTTCTTTTCTTTTCTTTTTGTTTTTAATTTTCAGAGGGCTCATGTGCGAGGGAGAGGAGAGAGAAAGAGAGAGAGAGAGAGAGAGAGAAGACAGAGAGAATCCCCTCAATGGGATGTGGTTATATCACAATCCCTTCTCCATTTTTCCATCCTGTCAGAATTTTGAGTATGCACACATATGTGCTTAGTGTGTTTTCCAAAAACAGTGAAAGCCAAGAGTTAAACTGTGGTGGGCTATGTGGGATCCTGCTCTCTTAAACCATTTGGCTATAGGCTGGCCCACTCACATTAAAAATAACACATTCCCAACAGTTTTATACTTTGTAAACTCTTGGCCAGCAGCTTGTGGCTCAAGGTGGCAGATGGGATACATACATTTACCCCTTCTCATAGATTCCTATTGGAATGACAAAAGAGATGTTACAGAAGTAATAAATACATATGGCTTTGAGAAGGACCTATGACCTATGAGATAGAGATTTGGATATATTTTTAGAAGATGGAAGGGAGATATAATTAAATTGATAGGCAAACTGAGGCAGAGGAAAACATGACTAATAGGACACACAAACAGGCACACACACTCACACAAATGTATACCTTTTCTAAGGTAAAAGCCCTTGGGAAGATTGATGTTTTCTATCTGGCAGAGCCCTAAAAGAAGCTCCCAAAGCAAGGAAGGCAGGCATAGAGAGAGAGTAGGAGTGGGGTTCTCTATAGTTGTTCTGATAATTCATTAAAGACCTGTTCACAGAATAGTTCACTTGGTCAACAGAAAAAAGAAAAAAAAAATCACGAAGGTGGTTAGGTATAATAAGCCAAGAGACCTAGAGAAAAACCAGTCCACATTATTCATTACACATCCATGTTCTGGGCACTGCTCCCAGCACTGTAGAACATAGTGGTGAACACCTAGGTCTACTCTTACAGAACCTCTATTCTCAAAGGAAAGGCCAATGATGAACAAACAATCCAATAAACACACATATAATAACAAGAGCCTGCATAAAAATTAAGCAGGAAGCAAGAATAAAGAGTAAGGTGCCATTTTAGATGGGAAGATCAGGGAAGGCCTCTCTGAAGACTTCTTTGAAGATTTCTGAGCAAAGGCCTCATGAATGTAAAAAGAATGAGTTACCTGATGATCTGCAGGAGGCCCCACGGTCCAGGTGAGGGTGGTTGCAGGTTTGAGAAATAATAAGGCCCTGTGGCTAGGACATAGTGAGAGAGGAAGAGAGAGAGCCAGGGCCAAATCCTGTAATTATTTTTTTTTTTGGAGAGATTTTTGCTATACGGTGCAAGCGCTCAGCAGAGAGACAGAAAGAGATGGAAAGACAGAGCAAGAAATCACCTTCCAGGGGGGATGGCCACACCACAATCCCTTCTCCTCCATTCTCTTCTCAGGATTTTGGGCATGCACGTAAATGCACATGGTGTGAGTTTCAAGACTCCAGGTCCGAAAATCACAGTTGGCCATGTGGAAGTCCATTATGCTATCTGCTGGTTCTAATTCTGTAAGATTTTAAAGACTCACACATACAATGCTGCACTTTTCTAAGTGTGATGAAAAGTTATTGGAGGCTTTGAGCAGTGGATACTCACAGTCTCACTTATTGTTAAGCATCACTATTTGGAGAGCTAGCTGTATGCAGAGAAGGAAAATGGTAGCAGCACACTAGTGAGGAAGTTATTACTGAAGATAAAGTCACAGAATATGGTGGCTCTGGATAAGGTGGCAGTGACGGTGGTTGGATTTGAGATACTTTTGAAGGTAGAGATGATAAAATGAGCTACTACCTTGGTTGAGTTGGTTGCAGAATATGAATCAAGGATAACTCACCTTACAATGAGAGGTTAGAAGTCTTCACAAAATGTCAAGTTCAAGTACCTGGATCCATTATGTCTCAAGCTTCAAGTGGAGGCCTATGTACAGATTCTCCATTTTGCTTAAACTCTTGAACCTTTTAAAAATCTTAAAATCTTACGGACAGTGGCAAAGTATTTAGAAATATCCAAGTGATACAAGTATTTCCACAGCCCCTAAGTTTGCAAAATCTATGGTGAAATTTTGTTCTACTGGTAAACAGGTTTCTTTCTTTCTTTCTTTCTTTCTTTCTTTCTTTCTTTCTTTCTTTCTTTCTTTCTGTCTTTCTTTCTTTCTTTTTTTCTTTCCCATGGTCTATCTACAATAGAATGACTGGTAACACTGTTGAATAAAGGCTTGGTCAGGAGAAATTATTATCCAGTGCTGGGTAAATGTTCTTATCTTATTCCCACACCCAAGCCTTACTTATCTAAAGAACTGAAAATCTTGGGACATAAAGTAACATCGTTTTCAAAGATGAACAAGGTCAGCAAAGGAGTACTGAAGTAGTTTCTGTTATCACTTTGACCAACTTGCCACATCAAGTAGGGCTAACTTCACTGTCACAGGTTAAGGCTGAATGGCCAGGCGCATTTCTATTAGATATCTCTGATTCCCTGCCTTGCATCTTCTTGTTCATACCTCTGATTCCAAGGACAGGTGGGTGGACAGTTACATGCAAGCTGTGACTTTTTTCATGGTGACTATATTTTACAACACCATGAACACCCATGAAAACATAGTGGCAAGCTTCAACCTTGAGGATGGAAACTCACAGATAAATTCTGCAATGCCACTACCACCTCCTTGGGGTAGACAATTCTGGGAGGCATTCTGTATGTTTCTCTGGAGGTCCTGGTGGAATTTGCCCTGTGGTTCACAGCACTGACCATAGTAATGCACCTTAATATTGGTTTTGCCAGTTTCACTTCTCCTGTACCCTTACCACTGCTTCCTGGGATCATGTACCAAGGAAGTGCACACTCTCCCCATCTCAAAGCCCTGCTTCAGAGTACTCAAATGAGGGCAGCTTTGTCTTATTAACTCAACAGCACTCAACATGTCAAAGAAATCAATTTGGACATAAAGGTTCTAATTCCCATCATCACTAGCATTTTACTTTGTTGCAAAGAATTTCACCTACATCTATTCACAGTACTTTTTGTTCTTCATATGTTTGTCATTGTGAGCTCAGAGAAAGCAATTAAGTTTATGGCACTAGTAGAGTTAAATGTATTTAAATTGCAAACTCAAATAACACATTATTCACTGTGGTAATCTCTTTTTTTAAATGTGCTCACCATGAATATAAACAGAACATTTTTAATGCAGAAATTTTATTTGATTGAGAAATGTATCACTCCACAAAGCATGATGCTGTTGACTTAAAGAAATTGTGATCTAGCTCTAATGACCCACACTTGGGAGGTACTGTTAATGTATTTAAAAAAACACATATAACATTGTTTCATGCATTCGACAACTTTGTGAAGTAAACATGGAAAAACATTTATTCTCATTTTAGAGACTATCGAACTAGAAATCAGAGTGATTAAGAAAGGTAGCTGATACTTGGCAGACCACACCTATGGTCTTTGACCATTGTTGACAACATTGTTAAAACCCACAAAGGGAAAGGAGTGAAGGTTGGGCAACCTAGTGAAGTTAAAAGATACAAAAATGTGAACGATTTTTCAGTCACTGCTTCATTTAGCAGGTGTTTGTTGAGTGTTTTTGATATGTCAGGCAATGTACAAGGCACTCTAAATAACGTGATTGTGAGGGGCCAGCATGTGGCATGGCGGTTAAGGCACTGGACTCCCACATGGCTGACTACAGTTTGAGTCACAGACCTGGCAGCTTGAAAATCATGCCAGGCACATGTGCGTATGTGCCCAAAATCCTGAGAGGAGAATGAAGGAGAAGGGACTGTGGCATGGCTATCCCCAGGGAGAGTGATTTCTCATGTTCATTCTCTCTCTCTGGTGAGCACACATGACCTATGGTAGAAACCAAAAACCAAAACAAAAAAAGATTGTGAGGAGTAAATTGCTAAAAGCAATTTCCTAGGATGAGGGTACTACAACAATCTTATACCCCACTATACTGGGAGTCTATAACTAAAATTACCATTGCCATTAGGGACAAGCTATGTGGACAAATGAAGCAATGATTTTCAAACACCAATCAAATCAATCAGTCAATAATTTTTAAATCTGCCAGTCAGTTGAATTTATTAATTAGACAATTTGATTAATATCTGGTATTGGAATGTATTCAAAATTGGCAGATTCAGTAAAATAAATCAATTGGATGAATGTTCTTCCTTGAATGAAGTGGCTATTTGACTGATTTGGAAGGTTGATTTTAGAACATTTCAGGATTACAGCAAGTGTTAATAGTCATAATTCCAGCTCATCAACTATTTAACTCCTAAGACAGCTGACTGCATTTTTCTGCAGCTCATCAGAAGGAAATAAATAATGGTGATTTCATCTTTTTTAGGGGATTCATGAATCAGCAGCTAAGGCCTATTGCTTCTTCTATAAATATAGCTTTTAACATTCTGGTGCTTGGGGAAGGAAAGGAGGGAAGCTAACTCTTGGA